GCAAGAACAAACTGCAGATATCTTCACCAAGGGACTACCTAAACAGAAATTCGATGATTTCATTTTCAAGTTGGATATGATAAATATTTACGATCCAACTTGAGGGGGAGTGTTGAAATCACGTAATAATTGGGGTCAAGATTAGGAATGATTGATCTTTCAATATATGAAATATTGTAATCTCTTAGATTGTAGAATTATTTCTTTCCATATTTTTCTCCGTTCCTTGTACTATAAGTAGGTGTATTGGATTGTAAATTAATAAGAAGAAATAACAGAAATCAATTTCTCTTCAGAACTGAACACTGATATCGACGATTTTTCGTAAAAAAATGACATGGAAAATGTCTTCCTTTTAAAGGATCTTGGTATTTCTAATCCTGAGGTGGATTTCGTTTATAAAGAATCTGAATCGGAGCAATCAACCGTTTCAAGGTATGAGATTTAGACATTCCCCCGACGAGGATGAACTTGTTAAACAATTGAATAAAGCCCTTGCAGAAAGTACTTTGGAGCCAGAACCTACGATTCCTGATGATTCTGAGCAATGGAAATGCTTGAAAGACGAGTCACTTGATGCTCTCATTTCAGGGATTACTGATCTGTCTTTGAGCCCGATTCCATTTTGAAATGGTTTGACTCTATCTGTCTTTGAGCCCGATTCCATTTTGAAATGGTTTGACTCTGTATCTCCAAACGAACGAAGTAGTTATGCTGCTGGATTACGAAAACAAATCATCTCCTATGGTTTTAACATTGGAATATGCTGTTTTTTTTTCACCGCCTTGGTTTATGAAAGACGATTCTTCATGTGGCCCTGACAGTGTAGAGCATTTTCTTTTACTATAAATCTCAATTTCTATGCTAGGTCTTGTGTCAACTGAGGTTTTTTAGTCCAGGCTCTAGTTGAGATAGCAAATTTATTGCTGCTAAAGAAAGAAAATTTATATCCAAGTACTTAAAGTAGGGATTGTTTATTTATTCTCCCCAATATTGCTTGATAAAGATATCATGGAGTAGGTTTATTTATTCTCCCCAATATTGTTTATGTATTCTCCCCAATATTGTTTATTTATTCTCCCACGAACCTACTAATCTTTCACCTTAAGGCGCATCGATCTCTAGATTTATTTAAATAAGGTTTTGTTTGGTGTATATGACAGTTAAAAAGACATCTTGTGTTTTATATAAATAAGGTTTAGTTTGATGTATATGACAATTAAAAAGACAGTGTGTCATTTTCTTGGCGTAAGAATCCCACGAGACTGGTCTTATTGGTCTTCCATTCTTTTAAAACTTTTT